TCGTGTAATAGTGTGTATTTATGTATGCATTTATGCATGTATGTATTTATGTATGTACGTATTTATGATTATGTATTTATGTATGTATGTTTGCCATTGTAAAACAAAGTGCCCTTCTGGGACAAATAAAAGTGTAATTTATTATTATTATTATTATTATTATTATTAACACTGCCAACAAACCCCAAGCAAGATTCTTATCCTGGTTGTCCCAGTCAGCTGTCACTATTGCAGCAATGACTGCAACTCAAGACTTCAACAATTGTAATGCTAGGTCCATTTGTTCCATTTACACTTTAACTAAATTTAAGGGGAAAAAATCTAACATTGAATGTTTAAAAAAAATTCAGTGGAAGAAACCACATGGGGACTAGTTACTAAGCTGAAAAGTTTGTAGCCAAAGAGTTCAGACAAATTTGAAGACAAATGCGTTCACTCCAGTTCCAAGTGCTGCTCCTCAGAGACTCCATACTTGAGCTTGTGAGACTCAAACAAATCAACAAGGGCTTTACAGTAGTCATCATGGAGCTGGTTCACCTGTTCCTGGCTCGGTTCTTCCACGCGAGGCACATCCATCGGAGCTCCAACTGAAAAACAAAGAGTTCATCAAAAAAATTATTTTAATTTTCAATGAAAGGGGGCGGGCGAGGTATCCCCTTAAAGAGATTCTGAGAGTTTCAAAACAACCGACACACACCCATCATTGAGTCATGAAAATACCTAAATACTGTTAACCCCACAATAAGCCTGGTTTTGTCAATGTTTCACAGTTGTCACAATAACAAAGTGACTGGTTTCTCAGTGATGTCGTGCATGATAGAAGGCGCTTTTATTAACCCGTTACCTCAAGCAAGCCGCTCCCAGCGGCATGAGGTTGGAACCGCTGTGCTAGTGAGCTGCTGGCAATGGCTAAGACACATTCCTTAACAAAGACTTCTAAGACAAATTACTTTTCAATAATTGCCAAAAACAGTTCTCTTTTACTAGGAGTTCAGTCAGGGTCCGTAGGAACAGACAATCGAAGACAATAGGAGAGAGAGAGAGAGAGGGGGGGGGAGGGGGAGAGAGAGAGAGGGGGGAGGGGGAGAGAGGCAGAGAGAGAGAGAGAGAGAGAAAGAGAGGGGAGGGGGAGAGAGGGGGAGAGAGAAAGAGCGGAGGGAGGGAGGGTGTGTGTGTGTGTGTGTGTGTGTGAGAGAGAGAGAGAGAGAGAGAGAGAGAGAGAGAGAGAGAGAGAGAGAGAGAGAGAGAGAGGGGGGGGGGGAGGGGGAGGAGTAGTTCTTGCGAGAACTTCCGGGCAAAACAAAATGGCGACCCGCGTAGTTCGGCTCGATTCGAAAAATGAAATAGCCATAGCATCTTTGAAGACGATCAAATTAGCTTACTTTTGTGCTATAACGTAATTTTTTCTTGGCTTTTATCAATTTGATCATCCACGTCGATAGACAGTATTCCAAAATGAGGAAAAACAGGTTTTGTTTCACACCGGGTGAGAATAGCCTACGCTGGCAAGTTTCACCCGGGGTGAGAGGTAGATCGTATTTTTATTCTCATCCCGGGTGAGAATAGCCACTTCCCGGTACAAAACCACTCCAACACTCCAGTCGGCCAACATTTTAATAGCCCTGGCCACAACGGAACCACTGACATGTAACTTCAGGGTACAGAGATTGTTTAAAACCCTACCAAAGAAAATCTTAACCTTAGAGAATCTAAGTGGAAGTGGAACCTGGGCTCACATTAAACACTCTATGGCCTAAACATTGATGAGCCCCATTCCAGGGAACTAACATTTACTACGTAACCACCCTACCCTCAAGCCACTACCCAACTTTTACCCCCTCTACCCCTACCCACCCCGTCCCTCCCAACTGAGATCAACATACTCTCCCCACCCCCTCCCTTTCTCCCCCACCACGCATTTCAACTCTTTATCTGACCGCGCCTTTTAAAACCATGGCACTACAGTGTCACCCTACCCCGCCCTCCCACTCCCAACCCCAGCATCTCCTTACCGCCTATCTCCCCACCGTCTTTCCTCTTTCCCGCCATAGCACATTTCCACTACTTGAAAACCACCTCCTGTCACTCCCTCATTCAGCAAACGAAGTGCCTGATCGTCAGGAAATTTTTATTCAACGCCTATCCTGCGCTCTTCGCCTCAAGAAATCCTTCTACTTCTACACCCCC